GATTTGGTTAGTGTCAGGCTGAGCATCATTTGTCATTCCTCATGGCCAAGCTGTGCTCTGCTCATGGCCATGATAAAGCAGAGGACAGACTGATGCCTAGAGACAACTTCAAGGTCACTACAGGATGGACTGAGCACACAGCCATGGTCCATCACAGACCTAGACTGTTAGAAGTCATCAAAGACACAGTATTTTAAGTATCCCAAGCTGTTCAAGTCTTTAAGAATAGGTCTTGTTTTCATCATTGCTCCAAGCAGCTTTTGCAGCCCAGAGCCTGCTGACCCTAGAGAGTTAGGACATCAGGCTGGAAAATAATGATTTGCCAGAATACACAGACAGAGCTACCCTTGTAGTTCTTTTTCTACCAGCTGTGCATCATTCCCACCAGCAAATTCAGCTGCAAAACACACAAAACGCTCACAGCAGTTTTGCTATAATTTATTTGTCTTGGTCGTCTTTTTTTTTTTTTCCCTTGCATAGGCATAAATTACAATCTGTTGATTAAAAAATAAAATGAACAAAACAGTGCAGCATTTGCAACAGGCTACAGCATCAAATACAAACTCCTCTCCTGCCTGTAGCCATCTGTTTCTGCAGGGCTAATTCATAACACCTGTGTCGGGCAAACCCAGAAGGAGGGAGAATAGAGGAGGGAAATGGAGTAAATAAGGGGAATCTGCTCTGACAGCTGTTTCACATTTCTCCTGCCTCACCGGGCACATCTGCAGTATCAGCACAAGGATTAAATACCCCTGGGCAGAGATGTGCTGTGCTGAAGCAGCAGTTTTAGGTGCCCTCTTCTCCTTTGCAGCTCGGGGAAAACGCTGCAGAAGTGCTGCGGCCGGCTGCAGCCTGGCACCGCTGCAGAACCTCAGCACACCCTCCTGGGGATTTCCCCCCCCCCCCAGGGGGCACGGGGAGACCTCCAAAACCAGAGCTAGCCTCTGGAGAAGGGCATAAACCCCAGGGTGACCTCCCACCGATGTCTCCAGGGTGTTTTACCCCAGGACAGCAGAGACTTGCATCTCCAAAGGACAGTAAAACAAAATGCTCCTCACTCTGTAGCTTGTGGTTAACATACTCGTGGAAGGAGCAGAGACCCTGCTCCAACTCCCTCCT